AGTGGCCTGTTACAAACTAGTCAGCGGGGATCAGCAGGCACTGGGGAAGTCCCTGTTCCCCCGAGCACTACCAGGAGTGACTAGAAATAACGGTCACAAGCTGGCAGAGGGTAGATTCAGACTAGACATCAGGAGGCACTACTTCACTGTCAGGGTGGCTAGGGTCTGGAACCAACTTCCAAGAGAAGTGGTGCTGGCTCTTACCTTGGGGGTCTTTAAAAGGAGGCTAGACGAACACCTTGCTGGGGTCATTTGAAGCCAGTACTTTTTCCTGCCATGGCAGGGGGTCGGATTTGATGATCTGCTCAGGTCCCTTCCAACCCTACCAACTGTGAAACTATGAAATATCAAGATCTACCTCAACAGCTTCTGTTAAGGTGGAAAGTGTTCATTAGAGCATTGAATGATCTACCTTGGGTGCGTCTAAACAAGACATTTACTTCAGAGTTGACTAATTAGCTCCACAGTAAATGTCTTGGCATCAACACGTGTACCCACTAGGCTGGAGTAAACCAATAAACTCTGCAGTGGGGTAGTACTTGTAAATACAAGTACTACTCCACTGTGGAGTTTTTCAGTCTTCAGCAGCACACATGTTGATATGGCTGGCTGGATACATAGATGCTGATATGGCTGGCTGGATACAAGGTTTCTTTAGTGCAGGGGCTGCCTTCTGGCTAGCCTTGCACTGTAGTACCCTTGTGCCCCAGGCAGCCCCTCCACAGCATGTTGAGCCAGACAGGAGAAGCCCTGGGCTGACCCCTGGGGCCCCATGCTAACCAGGGCTGCTCTGCCCCAGCTCAGTGTGCTGCAGTCCCAGGTGCATGTTCAAACAGCACACCCAAGAGCAATAAACTCCAGAGCAACAAACACCAGAGTTTATTGCTTTGCATTCACTGCATGTGTAGATGCGCCCCTTGTGTCACATCCAAATGGAAGACAAAAAATAAAATAAATTGAACATTATAGAAGTTAGTAAATACATAAAAGAATAAGCAGTGTCTCTTCTGAGTGGTTATAGCATACATTCCATTGATATAAACTTTGTAGTACAGAAGAATTAATGAAATCATTTACTTACATTGGATAATGTATTAATAAATAAGTTAGCAACACTGCATGAATTGGAGACAGTAGAAATCCTGCTGTTTGTGTAATTTGCAGAGCTGCTTTCTAGGAAGTTAATGTGGAACAGGTTTGAACAAAAGAGGGGACACCCTTTAAAGGTGAATGTCACAAAGGAGAGTCCACCATCAAAGAATAAATTCCTGATTCATATTTATTAAAGATAAAATCTTAATTTTGGCAAACCCAGCATGAGTTAAATAGAACCGTGTACTGGGGAGTAATACAGGGACAAAACAAAAATGAATATTTTCCTATGGTCTGTAGAAATGCAGCTTGTGTGTGCCTACTCAGGTGGAAAATGGCTGGTGAAAATGGCCATGAAAACCACCCTTCTGCCCAAATCAGAGTGAATCCTTGTGGAGTAGCTCTCTGTGGCATGAAAAGGATGAAGAATCTTTCTGTGTCCCACTCTCTCACCAACCTCTGCTATGGACTGGAACTACAGTATAGTATGGTACATCCAACTCCCATGATGGTATTGGATAGCTGATTATGTTTTATGTTCTTCTTAAAGCCCCAGCTCCTGGAGTCATGGGACTATGCAAGAAACTCCCCTTTCAGTTAGAGAAACACAACTTTAAAAAAAAAACTGTTAAAATCTCATTAGTTTTGGGAACTTGACTCAGATTTTTGAATGCTTGGAACACTAAATGCTTGAAACTGATAACTGTCCTACTGGCTTAGGACCCTGCTGCTGGGGGGACAGGAAGGGGGCAAGATTTGCTGTTTACCATGACTCCAAACACTCTGGCTTCCAGATGACACTCTTCCCCATGATGAATCTGGAACTTGATGAAAGAAACCACCAATAACTGTTAATCTCAAACATGACTTCATGTTGAGCATGAAAACAACAACCAACCCCCCTTGCTCTGGCTTCTATTATTTGTTCTTCAGGATAAATCAGCAAAGTAATGGTGAGCTGCTTAATTTCCAATTCCGTCCCTGACTCAAATGCTAAAAATAAGGTATAAAAGAAAAGAGTGGATATCCTACTTTTCTTCAGCATTCAAATTATACAAAGCATGCATTTTTCTGCCCAGTTCACTTTGAGTACAATATCTTTTGACTTTACTTAAGAAAAACATCCATTGACCCAGAGCAGTTGCTGCCTTTTTTATTATTGAGCGCTAAGCATTAATTCATGTAGAAATCTGTGAAATGTAAGCAGAAGCAGCTCGCTTCATGTCTGATTCTACTGTAAATAACAAATTGATAGGTCTTGTTTTGTACATAGGAGTCTTGAGAGGAGAGATGTTTATTTTAGGGCTATTTGAAGGGGTATCATATCTGTCATATAGTATACTCCTGTAGTATATGCACTCCCCAAACAGCAGTGCTTATTTGTGGGAGCCACTCTACAATACTTTCACATAGTATACAGTAGGAGCTTTCCATTTCAGAACACTAATTGGAGGATTTGGGAAGAAATAGTTCTCTTTCATCAGTGTTTCAATAAAAGACAGACAAATATTTGCTAACTTTGCTATTTTTTCACTTTTCTAAATCTTTCAGGTTTTCTTTTTTTCTCTCTTCTTTCTAGATAATGTGCTCATTAGATTATTGGATGGAGAAGAAATGGAAGGGGATAAAACAACAATGTTTATGTGGCAACATGTTTTGAACTGTTTTGCCTTTAACTTTGTTGGAGCCAGGATTTCATCCTGTGTTTTGATGGAATTGAGAACCATATGTGTACTTCCTCCAGTAAAATAATACTATTAAGAATAAGTAGAGACTGAGAGAGAGAATTTTCTTTCAGTTATACAGATGCAACAAAATTGGCATCCCTGGGTTGCATCTGCATGGCTGAAAGAGGAAATTGATCCATAAAAATCCTGTATGGCTATGTCACCCAAATTAATATTGTATGTTGGTTTCACTCTTATGTACGCAGTCTAAAGCCATCACAATCATGTTAAGAATTGCAGAAATTAGTTTTAACCATTGGGTTTTTTTTCTTTAACGAAACGAAAAACTCAGAGTGTTTTAAAATACAGAGTTTCCTTTTATTTGTTTTAGCTTTAAAAACAGTCCTGGAGTATACTTGCTCATATGTGAAAACTGACATGTCATACTCACCACAGATATAAAGCTAAGTGATGGTGGGGATGCAAACATAAACCAAGTAACAATTAAGCTAATGATGATGATCTTGTTATGGACATTGTAAAAAATAGACAAGAATGTGTCTGTAAATACTGTCACCATCATTTCCACTCAAAAGTGGTCTATTGCTGGTGCTCTGTTTTGACAGCTAAGGTTTTAGTTACTATGAATGTCCCCTCTCTTGACTGCAGTAAAATCTCTGGCAAATTTCTTTCCTACGAAGACCACCGGGAAGCTGAATGTACCAGCTCTTAGTGAGCAATTTTTTTCCATTTGTACAGGTCTCAGTTAATGACCTCAAAATACGACCTCAGTGGCTCATGTGTGATTTAAGTGGTGAATGAGCCCATGATGGATACATTTTACTTCATATAAAGAGCCACACCTCAAAAGCATAATTCGGGTGCTTTGTGAACTGTAGTGTCAACCATGGCTCTCTGGTGCAACTTGTTAACTTTGCTTTTTAGTTCCTAAAAGTTTGGGAATAGATTCATATAGCGTAAATCCAGAAGGCACCATTATGATCATTAGTCTTACCTTTTGTCTCACGCCAGCCATAGATTGACACCAAGTGTTCCCTGCTCCAAGGCTGTAACTTTCCATTGGGATAATTTCTTTTTTCTAGAAAGAAGCCCAACTTTAAATTAAAGAATTTAAGGCTGTGTAAGAGACACTATGTGAGAAACTCTCTCTCCTTGTGGCTCACTGATATAGCTGCTATCAGATGGAAGCATTTAATCTGAAGCTGCTTGGACTTAATTGAGAAGGAGCTGCCAACTGCATGCTCTCTTTAGAATGTACTTCCCAAATCAGAATCCAGATTTTGTTAGTGTTCTTGCACACAGCAAAAACTATGTTTTGCTACCTGTGCATTTTGGAGGTGGGTTGAGAATTGGAGTAGTTGTCTTATCTGCCTGGGGTGATGAAGGGAGACTCCTTTTGCTCTATTCTGTTGAGTTGTTGAGGTGAGAGCAGAAGTCTTTTATGTGATTTCATGTATATTGGAATGCCCAGAGTATGCAATTTTGCCTCTTTCGGCTGCTGTAGATTTAAATAAATAATTCTCATATTTTTGTTCTCAGCTACATATAGATGACTTGATGTGCCTAATTCATAGCTATAACTCTTTTTATTAGATTTCCATTAAGTGTTCAAATATATATTGTTTCTTCCTCTAGTAACTGCTATTGTGTTATCCTTTTTAACTCCCAAGGGACATACTGCCAGCAGAGAGAAGTGGAAGCTATAACAGAAGGAGATGAAGACAATGAAGGCTGCTGCTGCTGTAAGCCAGGTCACCTGCCTCACTTGCTATCATGCAACGCAGCCTTTAACCTCCGATGGCTGACATGGGAAATAACTCGAACCCAATATATCCTGGAGGGCTATAGTATCATTGATAACAATGCTGCAACAATGCTGCAAGTGTTTGACCTGCGAAGAATACTCATCAGATATTACATAAAGGTACACTACAAGTGCAGTGAATTCTACCTTCTATTCCAAGTTTGGAAATTTTTGCTAGTTAAAAAGGGAATGAGCAAGGGCTATCTAACAGAAATAATAGATTTTAAATAACAAGGTTTACATTTGCTAGTTTGCGCTGACTGCAAGACCTGTTGTTGAAATAGTGAATCCCGTGATTTGTTCTACAAAGAACAAATTACATTATGAAATCAAAGCCATTGAATCACAAAAGATACTTAGTTCCTTTATTTTTGATTATTACATTTCTTAAAGAACATTCTATATAGTGATGCCTTGTCTACATGCTGACTTGTTCTAGATTAATTGAGCTGGTTTAGCCAGTACAAAACCCATGAGTGAGCACATGGTTTTCATTTTAAAAATGGGTTTTCTTGGTCTAGCTTATCATTGTTTCATAAACATGTGAATCATAGAAAATGGGGGTTGGAAGGGTCATCTAGTCCAATCCTCTGCTCAAAGCAGGACCAGCCCCAACCAGATCATCCCAGCCAAGACTTTGTCTACCCAGGTCTTTAAAAATTCCAAGGATGGACATTCCACAACTTCTCTGGGCAACCTGTCCCAGAGCTTTACTGCCCTCCTAGTGAGACAGTTTTTTTCCTAATTTCTAACCTTAACTTCCCTTGCTGCAACTTAAGACTGCTGTTGCTCCTTGTTCTGTCATCTGCACCACTGAGAACAGTCTAGCAAGTAGTTAAAGGCTGCTATTCAATCCCCCTCCAGTCTTCCGTTCTCCCTATGAAATGAGCCGGGTTCCCTCAGCCTTTCCTCAGAAGTCATATGCTCCAGCCCCCTAACCATTTTTCTTGTCCTCCACTGGACTCTTTCTAATTTGTCCACATCCTTTCTGTAGTGTGGTGCTGAAAACTGAACACAGTACTCCAGATAAGGCCTCACCAGTGCCAAATAGAGGGGATCACTTTCCTTGAGCTACTGGCCATGATCCTACTAATGCTGCCCGACATGCCATCAGCCTTCTTTGCAACAAGGGCACACTATTGATTCATGTTCAGTTCATTGTCCACTGTAACCCCCAGTTCCTTTTCTACACAACTGCTGCTTAGTCAGTTTTTGCCTAGCCTGTGCTGGTGCATAGCGTTGTTCCGTCCTAAGTGCAGGACTTTGCACTTGTCCTTATTGAACCCCATAATTTAAAGTTGGGTTTCTTTCTTTTAGACTAATCCTCCAATTTGTCAAGGTCCTTCTGAATCCTATCCCTACTCTCCGATGTATCTATTGCTCCGTGCAACTTGATGTCATCTGCAAACTTGCTGAGGAAGCACTCTATCCCATCTTCCAGTTTGTTGTTGAAGATATTGAACAAAACCAGCCCCAGGACTAACCCCTGGAGCACTCCACTTGATACCAGCTGCCAACTAGACATCAAGCCATTGACTACTACCCTCTGAGCTTGACAATCCAGCTAGTTTTTTATTCACTGTACAGTACATTCATCCAGCTCATACTTCCTTGGCTTGCTTACACAAAAATTGTGAAAGATTATCAAAAGCCTTGCTAACGTCAAGACATCCACAGAACCTGCATCCCTGCATCCACAGAGCCAGTCATCTCATCATAGAAGGAAATTAGGTTGGCCTGGCATGATCTGCCCTGGGGAAATCCATGGTAACGTCCTAATCACCTTCTCTTCCTCCTGATGCTTAAAAATGGATTCCTTGAGGAACTGCTTCATGATTTTTCCAGGGACTGAGGTGAGGGTGACTGCTCTGTAGTTCCCTGGATTGTCCTTTCCTTTCTTAAAGATAGGCACTATATTTGCCTTTTTTCAATTTTCCGGGACCTCTCCCAGTTGCCATGATTTTTCACAGATAATGGCTAGTGGCTCATTATCATTGAGAATAGGTTAACCTATCTCAAGTCAAGCTGTCCAAGCTTTAAAAAAACTCCCAAAACTTGATGCAGCCCCTACAAAGACTAGAGCCCCACATCCAACAGAAGCAAGTTTCCCCTGGACAAATTTTCACATGCTTCTAATGTCTGCTTTGCAAAGCACAGCTTTCTCACTGATCACACTTGCAAATGCACAGACTGTTCATTTGTGCATAGTTGCCACTGTGCTTTCTGATCCAGGTTTATGCCTCAAGCTTCACCTCTCTGGTCAGGTGTCCCAACCAATTTGATTTCAGCTCAGCTGAAGTAAATTTGGTGTAAAATTAGTCCTGTTAAGCACAGACTTTTGCACTATATCATTTAAACATATTAAACAATTTTAAACTATTTAATTTTATTAAGCACCATATTATTAAATTATATTAGTGTAAGATGGAACTGGAAATGAAAAGGAAGCCACTCTGTGTGTAGACAGCTCTGTACTGCTGTTCTGAACTGAATTTCAGTCCAGAAGATTCTCACACTTGGTTTAATTTTTTAAGTGTCAGTAAAATTGAAAAACAAGCTGAGTTAGAATCAAATCAGTTCATTAGTTTCAGATAATGAACAAATGTTCTTGGCAAGTTGTAGCTTTTTCTCTAGCTTTTTCAAATCAGTGGCTTAAGCTAAGGAGATTATGATGCCATCCTAAGAAGTCAGAAGAAAGTGAGCTTCATGGAAAGGTAGGTTAGAACATCTGGTTTGGGGACACATAGGTGGGAGTCAACATGTGGCAGGACCAAAGATATGCAGTAGTAAGGTATGTGAATGGTTCTCCTCTTCTTGGACCGTAACATTGTCATGGTAGATAGGCTTGTGTGTTCCAATGACCCTCAAAGCTATATCATCTGGAGTCTTGTACTCCTGGTAGGGTCTCTGTTGGTGAACAGATCTGAGGTGAGGTCCCAGACTAAGCATGGTCCAAACCCCTGAAGACCCCAACAGTGGAACAGAAGTACTTGAGGACTTGCTGGACAGATGCAAGACCTGCTAGGCAGATAAAGGCCAGCTGAAAGAAGGAGGTGGCTATACCTTTTTTTGGAAAGGAAAGTCACCTGAAGAGAGGTGCATTCACAGGGTTGGCTTTGCCATCAAGAGCAAGATTATCAGCCAGCTTTCAGAACTCCCTGTGGTCATTAATGAATGCCTTATGACTCTCCGCCTCTCAAGCTCAGTAACAATCAGTATGCTAGTTATCAATGCGTACACGCCCACACTTGATGAAGAAGTCAACAAGGAACAGTTCTATTGTGCTTTTGACACAGTCCCGACTGCCATTGCCAGGAAAGACAAGCTCATCCTCGTGGGTGACTTCAACACAAGAGTTGAGCAACTCTCAGAACTCTGGAGTTGCACCATTGGAAAAGAGGGGGTAGGGAAAGTCAACTCCAGTGGTATCCTCCTCCTCAGCAAATGTGCAAAGCTTGACTTTCTCATCATGAATACCATCTTCAGACAGTGACAAATATAAGACCACTTGGAAACATCCACACCTGAGTCCTAAGAGATGCAGTTGACTGCTGGATGGACTACCATTTAGTCAGATCAGTCATGGACGTGCAGCTTGCACTGTAACACCATAAACAACTGAAAGGAATGTGGAAGAGATTTAACATCAAGGCAGTCCAGAACCAAGCTAGATGTGAGGCTCTTCAGCAACACCTTACTGAGAGGTTCTCTGGCCTACCTGAAGACATCAAGAACATCCAGACATGTTTGGAGGAGCTTAAGAATGTTATTCACAAAGCATGAATCAATGGGATACTCCACTTATTATCACCAAGGTTGGTTTGACACGTACGATGAGGAAATCCTAGCACTTATCCATCAGAAGAGAACCGCATTCTGCAGTTGGCAAAATGAACCCTCCAACCAGCAAAAATAGGAGGCTTACCACCAGCTCAAAGCTGTAGTTCAGAGGAGGCTACAGGACATCAAGAACCAGTGGTGGCACATGAAGGCCATGGAGATCCAGAGTTTCACTGATCAACATGATATGAGAAGTTCCTTTCAAGCAATAAAAGCCATCCATGGGCCACATTCCAATGGCCCAACCCCTTGTGATCCAAGGACGGTTCCACCTTTCTCACAGGCGATGTATTCACCAAACAACAGTGGAAGGATCACTTTAAGATTCTACTCAACCATGAATCTGAAGTATCAGCTGCCACCATTAAGTCCATCCCTCAACACCCAGTAATAAACCTCTTGCTGATCTTCCATCCTTCAAAGAAGTCTGGCATGCCATCACTCAGACCAAAAATAATATGGTGCCAGGCCCAGATGGCATCTCTGCAGAGGTCTTAAAAACTGATGGAACAGCACTAGCGCAAAAACTTCACAAACTTCTCATCAAAATATGGGTTAATGAGGAAGCTCCACCTGCCTTAAAGAATGCCAACATTGTAGCCATCTTCAAGTCAGTATGTGGGAACTACCAAGGCATTGCCCTCCTCTCTATTGCATCCTTCTGAATTGCCTCTTCCCCCTTGCTGCAGATGTCCTTTCAGAATCCCAGTGTGGCTTTAGACCATTTCGGCATACTACCGGCATGATTTTTGTTGCACGACAGATCCAAGAGAAGTGTAGCGAGCAACACCAGGAACTGTTTATGCCATGCATTGACCTAACCAAAGGCCTTGGAGTACCTGCCCCAAGTCCCCCAGGGCAGACCTAACCAAGGCCTTGGCCTCCGTCAATTGTAAAACCTTACAGAAGGTGCTAGCTAGGTTTGGTTGTCCACTGAAGTTCATCCATGTCTACATGATGGGATGACTGCCACAATCCTTTGCACTGGATCAGAGAGAGACCCATTTACCACCCACACTGGTGTCAAGCAGGGCTACATCATTGCCCCAACCCTTTTTTCATCTACCTTGCTGTGATTTTGATTCTTATGCGTGACTGCCTTCCTCCCAGAATTGGGTTTGAGTATCAAATGCATGGTCAGCTTTTCAACCTGTGGTGCCTTCACAGCAAAATGAAAGTTACTGAGACTGGCATCACCAACCTTTAGTATACTGATGACTCTTATCTTTGCACACATTGAAACCAATCTGCAGTTCACCCTTGACCTTTTTTCAGGTGCCTATCACAGCCTGGGACTCGCCCTTAACGTTGGGAAGACCAAGGTGCTCCATCAGCCTGCCCCAGCACAAGCTGCCTCCTTTTGCCCACAAATTACCATTAGTAGAGAAACCCTGGGAAACGTTGAGCATTTCCCATACCTTGTCAGTCACCTCTCCCAGTCAAGTCAGTAAATGTAGAAATAGAACATAGGATTTGCTGTGCCAGCGTATCCTTTGGAAGGCTGCTCTTTGCTGACTGAGATCTGCAGATAGAAATTAAGATCCTGGCCTACAATGCAGTTGTTGTCCCCATGCTCCTCTATGGGTGTGAGATGTAGGTGACATTAAAGCCATCAAGTGCCTGGAATGTTTCCATCAGTGTTGCCTCAGGAAGATCCTTCACATTAGATGGGAAGACCACTGTACCAATGCTAGCATCATGTCTGCAGCTAACAGAACCAACATTGAGGCAAAGATCATGAAACTTCAACTCCACTGAGCTGGCCACTGTGTGCAGATGGCTGGCACTCATCTCCTGAAGCAAGTCCTCTTCTCTCAACTTAGTCATGGTAAGAGGACCTGTGGAGGACAGGAAGCACTACAAGGACACCTTAAGAAGGGTGGCATCAACCCTACACATTGGAAAGTGCTGGTGGATAACAGGTTTCAATGGCGCTGCACTGTACATCAAGCTACAGCCCACTTTGAAGAGAACCATTTTGCTCAGGAAGCCAAGAAACAGCAGAGGAGGAAGGAAAGTGCATGAGATCCTGGTCAACAGTTGTGCCTCTCCCCTTCCCCCCACCCCCCACTAGCCCAGGCACCACTTATGTCTGTGGAAAAACTTGCAGATCACGGATTGGACTCCTCAGCCACCTTAAAACTCACCAGTAATCCCCCTCTCTCCCCCCTGGCAGACATCATCCTCATATCAAGGGAGAGCTGATTAATAGGTCTATCTTCATTGGCTGTAGCTTTAGTGGGGTTCCGTAATTAAGACAAGGCTGTTCAACCTCTAATAGGTCAGGGACCACAGCCTTGCAAGTGGCACCAGCATAAAAGACTGGTTCCCTGTGCCACATGCCACATAGATATTGCTCCCACTGCACTGTGTATTTACCCACAGCTTCCCCAGCACCAAGGGCTGCACCACTATGCCCTGCCCTCTGGGGTGCAGCCAGGAAATGACAGCTGGAGGAGGGACAGGGAGCCCAGACACCCAGCTGCTGCTGCAGCCAGAGGAATGGGAAGAGCAATGGCTAGGTAAAAGCCCAGAGGCCACAAATTAACCCCTCAGGCTAACAGTTGGACAGCCCTGGTTTAAGAAAATTATCCTATTAAAGGGTTAGATTGAGCTTCTTGAGTTTAATCCATTTCATTTGCCATTACATTGACAGCCAGGAAGCCACCTTTTTCTTCATGTAAAAGGATTTTTACTTTCCTCCAATAAACTGGGTCAGCTTCTGTAGCCTTTTTGCATATATGTGAAATAATGTCCTGCCTGACTACTGTGAGATTTTTTCCTAGTGCTGCCTCTATCTCCTCTCAATTTATTCTTGTTTAAATACCATTTAGTCAGCAAGAAGTTGTCTTAGTCTCTGAGTGCTGTGCATTTCACTACCCATTGTTTCTGTCTGATTCTTCTTAAAAGAAAGTGTGCTTATCTCTCTGCATATACTCAAAATTTGAGACTATCTTTAGTTTGTATCCATCTGTCTTATTTCTCTAGAATGCAGTTTTCCTTTTGCATGTATTTCATATTATTGAAATAAGAAATAGATTTAGAATTTTTAAACAGGGATTAATACTGTCCTTTTTAATGCCTTAGCAAAGTTCTTCCACTTTACAGGCCTTCATTCATTTCAATATCCAATTCAAAATTCAAAATTAATCCATTATTGATTTGCTCTGGTGCCAGCTGAAAATCTTGCTGTTCTCTACTCCCATCCCTGTTTCCTTCAGTCATGTTGACTCAGGCACCTTATTCTCCTCTTAGTAAGGAGATTTGATCCTACATTTTCTGTGGACTTAAACTTCCATTGACTTCAATATGAGCAGAGATATGTACCTGGTTTTAGTATTGCTATTGCCGATATGAGAATCATTTAATTTGCAATTACTGTCCTCTGCAATACTGACCTTGTATAACCTTGTCTTTTGCTTATAAATATATTGTAACTCCATTGCCACTTATTTTTTTCCCCTGATGCTCCTGGATCATTCATCTGCAGGGATTAAACCTTAGGAACCCTGATGTAGATATGGATCTTGTTACTTTTTGATTAATTTATGTATGTGCTAAAAAATGTCTACTGAATGTGTTCCTTATCCGTCAAACTTTGAGAGAGATGATCAATGATCAGTCATTGTTTCAGATTCACTTGTAAAAAGCTATCCAGTTTTTTTTATTTCACTAACTTCATCAACAGTGTAGCCAGAGGTGAGGGCTAGGCCTTCTAGTGGTGGAAGTATTAACCAGTGGCTCTGTTCTTTATTCCCTTCACTGTGGGTCTGCCCATTTGGAAGTCAACAAGAGCCCTCCTCTGGGGCTGGGGTGGCCTGCAACTACAAGTCTCCCCCTTCCTCCTCTCCTTTCTGAGCCTCATCCCTAGGCTCTAACTATTCCCCTTCCAGATCCCTGGTTGCTGCCCTGCCGCTCAGCTGTGGCTAGCCCAACTACTCACATGCCTCACTCCTGGATCTTCAGCCACTTGCCATCTGTCAGCTGCTGCATCTCCCATATAGTAAGGGAGGGGACTTCTGGTGTGGCTTCCCTCCTTGGGAGCCTCTCTGGTGCTTTACCCCCTGCCTGCTCCCTCCAGCCACTTCCAATAGGTGCAGCCCCGCCAGCCAATCTGGCTGTTCCGCCTGCCCCCCCGCAACTGTCTCATGGTCATAGAATGCCACGTCCCCCGGCTGTCCCCTGTTCCCAGCCAGCCCCCTTCCCAGTCTGCAACCCAGGTGTGTAGCCTAGGAAGAGTTTTCTGGGGTGCTATGTTGCCCGGTAGGTGTCCTGTGCCCAAGCCTGTGTTACAAAGAGGCAACTACAATATATTTATTGCCAAAGCAAAACAGCAATTAAAATAAGGTTTTTCAGAGCTATATTTTACACTTGGAAGTTCTCATATTTACAGTTAGGTTCTGATAGACATGTTCCTCTTAAAGAAATGGGAAAGTTGCATTCTCAGAAATCTGAAACTTCACAAGAGGTGAAACAACATCAGACATTTTTGGCCATGTGTAAACTGAAAATCAGTTTTGCAAAATCTGCAGAAGCCTTGATCAATGTCATTTTCATTTGCAGTAGACTCCCTAGAGTAACAGTCACTTCCTCCAATTAACTAAACAGGTGTTGAAAGCATCAATTCCAATTGTAGTGTATTGCTTTTCATTAATATTCCTTTAAGTCACATTCATTTACACTCGGTTAGCACTCAGCAGACTTCTTCCTTTCTTGTTTGTCTACTATTTAGATGCAAATTATTGCAGTCACTCTAGATAAACAGTTTTGTGAATCACTAATGACAAGGACCAGGAATAATACATAATACTGGGGATAATTAATGCCCTCTTATTCTGATTTTCTCTCTTTTGTGAAGTGGTTCAAAAATAGGTACAATGGCTAACAAGTTTGTGTTTTTTGTCAACAGAGCATAATATACTTTACAGCTAGTTCGCCCAAAATCTTAGACTGGATAAAAGATGAATCAATCCAGAAGATACTACAACCCTATGCCAAATGGCATTACATTGAACGTGACCTTGCACTGTTCAACATTAACATCGATGAGGATTATGTTCCATGCCTTCAAGGAATAACCAGAGCTAGCTTCTGCAGTGTTTATCTAGACTGGATTCAGTACTGTGCCAGAAAAAGAATAGAGGTAAGCATGTATCTTTTAATTTCTAGGATACTGAATTATAGAGTTATTGCACTGGAGCAAATAAAAGAGTAACTAAAGTTTATTATCATATTTTGTCACATACAACACTCCCAAAATATAATACACGCCTTCTTTTTGAAAGGAAGAATAAAGAAAAAAAAAACTTTTCCTTGTAGCAGCAGCTAGGGAGCAGAGCCTGCTCGTTGTTCTACTCCATGAGTGACATGCAGATTTTACTTTTAACTTTTGCTAGTAACAGGTAGAAACTGTTCTTATCATATTTCTCATATATAATGAACACTGCAATTTCCAGCAGCTGTTTTTGGAGGGAAAATTTTGTGCTGCATGCAGTATTTTCTTCAAACTGTAGAGTAATGTATAGTGGGAAATATGTTTTGTACAATGTGCAAAACATTTGTGGAGCGTGTTAAAAGAGAAACTGGGGAAAAATAAGTAGTTTTATGCACACTATCCGTCAGCATTAACTTTATTACCTTTAGTAAACCTGCATTTAAAATCTTAAAAAAAAATGATTGCTGCTAGTGGAAGTGCACACCCAAGGAAAAGCCTAAGTATGGTAACAGTGCTTAAGTTGTCAGAACTTCAAAGCATCACTGCTGTAGGTCAAATAATATTGCAAATTTAGGGGGAAAATATCAATCTAGTTACACATAGGTGTAATTTTCAGCTGTCAAGGAATTACGGACCTGATTAGCCAAGAGTATCAGGTTAAATCTGAAAGGTCCTATTTCAAATACTGTGTTGCAAAACTATGGAAACTTATGATTTAACTGGAGGGAGTTAACAGTTACCCATTCATAGTTTCTGAAACTGTAACGTTATTCAGGTTCAGCCATCCTTCCTACTCAAATGTATTATTGTGTTTCATTGAAACCACAATGCAGTTAGACATGCAAATTCCACTGAGTTTAATATTTTGTTGATGACAGCAAAGTTAATAACCAGCATAACTTTTTCCAGTCCTTATGTTTTTTGTGTGTTCAGGTTCTTCAACCCATACTTCCCATTAGTTGCCGCTGTCTTTAACCTGGGCAGCCTCCTTGAGTTTCAAGATTCATTCTCCCCTTTCTTAGGATTTGTTAAGCCTGCCTGTCATCACCACCACACCATTTCCCAGGTGGATCACTACTCTAATTCCTGTTCCACAGAATTCTTCCTCTGTGTCTCCCATCTCCTTTTCCTTCTCCCTTCACAATGGGACCCACCACTTGTTCAAATTAAAACAGGATAGAAACCAGCTATAAAGTTGCTACATTTTCCAGCACTAACTTTATAGCTGCTTGGCTCTTTTTATAGCTAGATATTTTTATGTCAAGATAATTACTTTGCACATGTGGTCAGTCAAAATCTATTATCAAATTAACCAGTTAATTGCATAATATACATAATGTGTGGCAGGGGCCTTTGACTGTTGCAGCTCCCCACTGTATTGTCTCGAAGCCTTAGCTCTACTATGTCAAACTGAACTGGTGCTGCAGATTAGGGTTACTGCAGGCCAGACCTGGACCACCCTGGGGCTTGCTGCAGCACATGGAGCTGGCATGGAGTGCACGACACCCATAGCTCATGGGCTAGACTCTGCACTGCAGGCATCACATAGGGTCAGTCCAGGGTGCTACGTGCCTTTGAGCCCTGGTGCTACACATGCTGCATATAGCATGGGGCCAGCACAGGGCACACGCTGCATGTAGCACTTCATTGGACTGGCTTTTCACACTGGTTCCAGAATGGCCCAATCTGGACCAGCCCCAGAGGCAGCGTGCAGAGCCAGTCAGTGGAGTGCTACATGAAGTATGCATCCTGGACTGACCCCCACCCCCTGTGCTGCGTGCAGAGTTTGCAATGCTGGGTCCAGTCTGTGCCCTACATGCAGCATAAGGGGCTGGGTCCAGAGCCCATATGTTTGACACTGCTGGTGTATGCACATTTCCACTGTATAGGAATATTATAGTTACAGGAGTATTGTTACTTTGTTTGATAATGTTTGTATGAAGAACTAATATATTGTCTTTATATCTTTCCAGCATCTGGACAGTGATGAAGATTCTCCTTTAGTAACACTTTCTTTTGCCTTATGTATTCTGGGGAGGCGAACTCTGGGAACAGCTGCCCACAATATGGCCATCAGGTAATTTCTAGAAATACATTTCCCCCATCTTAAAAAAAGAAATCTGTTCAGCTTTTTCATTTAGTGTCAAATCTGAAATTATTCCTGGATCAGAGATAATTTCATTGAAAAATGAATATTAAATGCTGCCCTTGGTCACAATTTTTCTCAGTAACCTGAACAATAAATTATATTAACTTTTTATTTTTTCTTTTGGCAAAATAGAATTTTATCCTACAGAATTTTCAGAGTAGTGATTCATTTTAGGTTGAATCCTGGCCTGAAGTAGTGTTGCGAGGACTTACTTCCTAGAGGAAAAAGATGTTAACTGATCTGTTCAAAGAAAGTTCCAACAAAACATGGATTAGTAGGCTAAATAATAAATCCATGAGCTTCCTGTATTCCACAGAGCTGAACACCTTAGCTGCTATGCAACTGAATAATTTGATGAAATGATGATGGTAGTAACCCACAGAATAAGAATTTGATTGCTCCTTGGCAAGCTTCACACCACACCACACCAGTACCACAGGTGACTGGAGGGGAGGCCCAGGAGAGACATGTGCCCTCCCTGAGATTGGCCCCTGACTCAGTACCACTCAGGATGGGGCATTTTTTTTCCCGTGCAGGCTTTTGACCCACCCCTGGGCCTGCCCACAAATTGTGCCCCCCCCCCAGGAGGCACCAGTCACCCCTGCCAGTACCCACTCACACATTGTTTCAGAATACTTCTCACTAACAAATGTGTTCAGTTTTAATTATGTTTGACCCTGATATAAAGAATCCTTTCATCCCCCCTTTGCTAGTGAATCTTTGGCTTTACAGGCCTGCTTTAAGATAATCTAATATAATAAAAGCCTTAGTCTGTCTGTCTGTCTGTCTGTAACACTTTATTTGCACTCTGATTGGTTGTCTTGGCAGCCGATCACAATGCTGACTGAAACAATCAGAGTGCTCCAAGAGTGTCCTGCAGTGGCAGCAGCACAGTGGAGCACTGCCATGATGGAGGGGATGGAGCAGGGGAGTGAGGCCAGCACTACTAGCCTTGCCCCTCCCTCCTCCCCCAGCCCTGCTCCCCCTGGAGGTGGCAGCAGCATGGGGTACTGGCCAAGGGGGGCGGAGAGGGTGGAAGGGCAAGCTTCCCCCCTCCCCCCTGCTCCTGGGAGGCGATGGCGGCACAGGGTGGTAGGTGGCAGTGCTCTGTCCCCCCACCTGACCCCACCACATCATTCCTGATGGGCAATTGGTGAGCTAGTTTTATGTTATCATAATATAATTATCAAGTCTGAGCACTTTGGAAGGCAAACGGGTGCTTCATAGATAAAATTATTACTACTACAACAGGGTGGACCAAGTTTTGATCTGATTCTATACATGTTGGAAATATTTGAGCTAAGCAAGTGGAAGAAAGCTTTTCTGATTGTCACTGTAGTGGGATGGAGCTCTGTGCTATACTATGATGTGTCCATGCTGTTTTCCCTTCGGTAAAACCCATATTCCCCTGGAGTGGATTTTGGGCTTGCCCTGCATCATAATTTTTTTATGATCAGAGGAACTGGTCATGTTCTTCTGCAGTTCACAACCCATTTCAAAAGGAGGTAGTGACCAATACAGCTCAGGCCTCAGTTAACTGAGATGATATGGTTGCTTAGAAAAAAAGTAGGGTGAAAGACAACTGGAGAAAAATCATGGGGCATCAGGTTCTGAACATTTGCACAGTCTGGGAAAAGCATCATGCATTTCATGCGTATTAGGTGTAGAAGACCTTTGAAAGGACTGAGCCAGGAAACAGTTAGGCAAGAGCAGGGTATATTCTAAAGACAAAAAGGTCCCATTCATATAAATACAAAAAAATTCAGTAAAGTAAACTGGCATTGTAAGCACTACAGTGTTTCCCTATCTGGTATTTCCTAGACTACAGCTTACTCTTTATCCACAGACTCATTCTGCTATAACCTCTTCCCTATTGATCTGTTCCATGATCTTCTTGTGTCATATCACAAACGTAGACAGTAAGCATTCTGAGAAGGGGAGAGAGAGTCTGTACTGCTTCCTGTACAATGATTCTTGACTGGGGCCCCCAGATTGTTCCCCAGACTGTTCAAATAATTAGACTGAAGGTCTGGGCTTGGCAAACCAAAAGCAAAATTCTGGCAAAAAGCAGGTGGTACTGTTTGAGTGGTATTGGGGAGCCCTGTATAATTCCTAATAAAGTCACAATTACACTGAGAGAAAAGTGTTTATAACCAGTAATTCTCAACCTTTTTAGACTCGAGACACCTTGGATAGACTCAAGGCATTCCTTGGAAAATGCCAGCTCTTAGTTTTCACTCATTTTTTTTCACTACAGAAAAATAACAGAGCAATTCTTCTGTTACAGTGAACTCAGAAAGACAGGGGTGATGTGTAGGGAATGCATGGGGATGCACGTGCACCCCCTGAGAGCACTGGTGCACTCCCTGACCAGCTGCATTTGCCACTTGGGCAGGGGGGCAGGTGGGAGCGCTGGTGCCCCCCCTGCAAGCACCGGCCGGGGAGTGGAGTGCTGTGGTGCTCCCAGAAGCAGCCACAACCACTTCTGGAAGTGGGCACAGTGTTCAGCCACAGCAATTGGCCACGGGGGGGATTTCCCCCCTGGTCGCTGACTTGTTGCTGAGGGGGCACATGCCCCCCCCACTCAGGCGGCACCAGTTGCCCATGCAGGAAGACCACAGCTATGGATTTCTATTTGAAATCTTTGGGTTTATCTTATGAATCATGTTAGTAAATCTAACAGTGCTAACATTGCGTGGCACCCTTGAAAGGAACTCAAGGCACCCCAGGGTGCTGTGTTGAGAAGCACTGGTTTATACCAGTTTCAAAGTGCTTATTCCTATAGAGAAAGTGGAATAAAGATGTTCGCAAAAGGGGTCATAACAGTCTGCCTATTTTGATATTTCTTTTAAAATCACACCCTTAACTGACAGTTATATTATATATTGATACAAAAAAATTTTAGACAAGGGCTGTACACTTACCTATGCTTAAACTCCTTTACCTTATTTAAAGGGTTAAACAAAGAATAAATAAAACCAAGTTGCATTATTTTGAAATGCATTTTATAGAATGTTTCAAGCCTGTCTCTTCTCAAAATAAAGCTATCCTTTAAGTATTTGTTTTAGCTTTCTAATATTTTATTTGAAATGTTTGCAAAGTCTGCTATTATGTCTTCCTTTGAGCCTGTTACTCAGAACATCCCTGGACCCATGTAGTGTACTTCTGCTGTCTGTTTTCCTCAGTAACTTTCTTGATATTTTTGTTATTAACAGCTGCATGCTGCTTTAACTTTATTTTAGATAGGACTGACTTTTTCTTGCTGCTTTCTTCCATTCAAATTGGTGTTATTTTTCATAAATGAACAATATTCCAACCTCTGTCCTAAAGTTACACTTTTTTGCCCATACTGCCCCTGTTTAATAGTGGTCTATCTAGCCAGTGGTCTATCCAGTGGTATCCTGTACCTCACCAAATACATGCCATTTTTTCAGTGAGATACAGGATACTGGGCTAGATGGACCACTGGTCTGACTCAGTGTGGCACTTACTATATTCTTATTTTCAGAGGAAAGATTAAAGTAGTTTTGACCTTAGTTTTCCAGTAAATCCTACCACAGCGATAGGTACATTAGGACTGCATGTAAAGATACCAGTAAAGATGCTTAAAAGTGTTGATAAACTGGAGTTTTCAGTTGCCATTATGAAAGTGCACTGGAATTCTTGCAGTTACTATAGCAAAGTTAGCTGTTTAATCAGTTTGTAAGGTAATGACCAGCTGGAAGGGTTGTTAGTAATATCTTTGTTATTGCAAACCTATAAAATTATCATAACATTCCAAAGAGTTAACAGAGAGAAAACTGAAGTTAAGTTTATTTATTTCCAAGAGCTGTTGTAAGGATTTTAACTGTGGCCACTGGAGATAGGTAGTAGGAGTCGGATAGTATTTCCTCTTCATGCACCTATGTGGTAGGTATATTGCCACCTAACTGCTGTTTTTGGCACTTATGCACATTTGGGGATGAAGATGAATTCAGAGGGGGTGCAGTGGCAAGGTCCCTCCCTTTTTGGACCACAGTGCAGGAGCAGCAGCCAGGGACTGTTTTTGAAGAATTCCCCCCATACTTTCCTTCATTCTCAAAGCCACCTCCTCTCCTCCTCTCCTTATCTGCCTGCTGCAGCCACTGTCCCTGGCTGACCCAAGGTAAGGAAAGCTCAAGAGCTGCTTCTGCCCTACTCCAGTCAGGATTTTAGGGGAGCACTTATGCAGGGAGCCAGACTCAGCTAGAGACAGCCGTGATGGGGGGTCAGTTCCCCCTCTCTTCCCTGTACTTCCTTCCGCAGATGCAGGGCAAGGGAACCCATCTACTACCACCGCTGACCCAGCAAAGCCTGGTTTCCTGTACAGCCGCTCCCTGCAACACTGGTTGGAGTGGTGCAGAATTTGCCAGGAGAATGGCAATGATGGGTGGACAAGAAGGGCGATAGGAGGGGACAGGAGGTGCTGCTGAGAACAGAGTCCCCTGTGGCCACTGGGATGCTGAGAACAAGGGGAGGGGGAGAGGGACTCTTATCTGTAGGGCTCAAACCAACTTGAGAAGGCAGCCAATTGATTTAGCAGGCAGATCACAGGGCTGACCATCATTTTCGAGGGCTTATCATGGCTGTCCCCTCCCCATACCTCTGATTGCCCTAGGGGCCCTGGTGGCCCCTGCCCCTCGACACTGATTAGTGGAGAGGTGGGGCTGTATGACAGGCAGCCCTCTCAGCCAGTCAGTGGTGAGGGGCAGGAGGGGCAGCCTTTTTGCATGTTCACTTTTGTGCCGGCAGCCTCCCTCCACCCTTCCCCCAAGTGAGCTGAATGGCTGGGAAGATTGTTTGGTCCCACTGGGGAGCAGGCATTTTATTTTTAGTAAGTTGTTTTTTTCCATGAATTTTAGCAATTTTCCAATTTAGCAATTTCCGCAAAATCCATGCAAAAGCAATTT